TCCTCCTGCTCCTCCTCCTCTCTGATCTCCTCCTGCTCCTCCTCCTCCTCTCTGATCTCCTGCTGTGGTTTCAGTTGGCAGTTAACCCTCCACAGCTGACGCCTGGATCCAGGGCGCCGCCTCAGCAGCCATGTTGTGAGGTTGGGTTCCCTCCAACATGGCTGCCGTGCCGCCCGGCCTCCTTCTGCTCTGTGGTCACTTTATCGGACCGCAGAGCAGATGATCTGATTGGTTCACAGCTCAGAAGCCACACAGCTGCTTCCTGTGTGGCTTTAGCGCCACCAGAGAGGTTCTATCTGCTCTGGATCTAGGCTGACTGGACAGAGGAGGCGCTGCAGACTGAGGAGTCCATCAGTTCTGACCCAGAAAGCTCCTCCTGGACCCGGCAGAACTCTCTCTGTTCTAAGGATGATGAGGTTCTGGTGTTCTGGTCCGATAAGCTGATCCAATCAGCCTTCCTGTTCAGCAGGAAGCGTCTTATCCAAGCAGAACTTCTAGTTCTGGTTCAGGACCCGGAACCGTTCAGAGACGGGTCGGACCCGCTGCTGCTCAGAACCTCAGGACGGTTCCGGCAGCTTCAGGGTCCGGTTCTGTTCAGGGTTCTGCTGCCTGGTTTCAGTTTACTTTGACTAGACCAAACAGAACCTAAACAGAACCCAGGCCCGTTCACACCCTTGGTTCTGGTTGTCTCTAGTGGTTCTGGTTCTGCAGCCTAAGTTTAACGGGTCCGCCCCAAATTCAGGCGAACCAACCTGATGCGGTCCAGTGAAGCGTTTATTAAACCGCGTTCGGGTCGGGCGGTACCGGAAGCGGGCTCAGAAGGTTACTTTAGGTCGGCTGGATTTCAGCGCCGTCAGTCTGACCTTAAGATCTACCGGTTCTGGTTCTGTAGAACCCGTTTCACAGCTGGGTCCGGGTCGGACGGAACCGTCAGAAACAGAACCTTTTCCTGCTCTTCGTGTTCAGCTTAGAAACGGTTAAAAAAAGCCCAGATGGTTCTGGTTCTGTTGGTTCTGTTTCTGGTTCTCTTGGTTCTGGTTCTCTTGGTTCTGGTTCTCTTGGTTCTGGTTCTGGTCGGCTAATATTTTAACATTAGATTTTATTTAAATAATTTTATTAAAACTCGTAAAAAATTATATTTAACATTAATTCTAAAGTGAAAGAAAATAAATGATTTTAATGAGGAACTTTAAAATTTTTCTAAAACTTTTCAAATGATTTTTAGACTCAAATTTCATTTTAATCTTTTTATTTTAAGTTGAAATAAGTTTAAATTTTAATTGAAACTAAAAATGTTTTTAATCCATCAGACTGAGTTTATATTTGATTTTTCTGCTATTTTGGAACAAATTTCTGCTTCAAATATTGTTTTAAGTTTAAACTGGCTAATTATTAACTAATTAATCCATAAAGTCTGATTAGCTAATTAGCTGCGTCTTTCTTTAATAAACTAAAACGTTAAAATCAGACGTCTGTCGATGCTAACGCTGTTAGCTAGCTCACTGCTAATCAATTTACCGCTGCTGTTAAAGCAGATCCTATAAATAGATATTAAATGTTACATTTCAGAAAAATAAAGGTTTATTTTTTAGTTTTTTATCCAGAATATTTGGTAAAGTTGGATCAAACATGGCCGCCTGAAGCTACGCTAACGTTTAGCTTCCTTTCTTTGAGAAAAAGGGCTTCGATTTATTTAAATGATTATTAAAAAGTGACATTAATGTTTTAAATGAAGCGTTATTAACGGCGTAAACATCGAGTCGCATCATTTTAATTTAATTATTTCTTTATTTTTCAACAGTTTGTTTTTTTCTCTGATCAAATCATGTTTTTTAGTGACGCTAAATCGACTTTTATTTGGTTTAAAAAAGCAGGTATTTGATTAATTAAAAGTTTGTTTTTTATATAAAACAAAGAAAAAAAGTTTAAAGGTTGAAAGTTTGGATTAAAAAAAATTTTTTTTTGTTTGAACAATAATGAGTAAATGAATAATAATTGTGTTTTAATGACTTTTAGTTGTATTTTTGCTCCAAACATTAAAATGTTTTTTCTTCAGAGCTAATGGTGCCTGCTAGCCGCTACGCTAACAGTCGGAGGTCAGTCTACAGACTGAAGGTCGGTTCTGTTCACCTAAAGGTCCAGAAACGCCACTTTTTACTCGGTTCTGTTGGAGAAACTAAAGATGGCCGCCAGACGCTGCGTTCATCTCAAACTTTGATGTTTTTGGTGAAACTTTTCTTATTTTCTGCTTTCAGAAAATAACAGAAAAAGTTTCTTTAAAAAAAATTTGATCCGAAGGTAAAAAAAAAAATGAAATCATAAAAATTTCTGAATCAACATTTAGTTTTTTAACGTTTTTAGAAAATCGTTCAACGTGTTTTTCAGAGCCAGAAACAGTAAAAGATGAAATCAGATTTCTGTGTTTGCGTTCCTGACCCGGTACCGGTCCCGGTATCGGTCCTGGTACCGGTCCGGGTTCTGGTCCATCCTCAGTGCTCCGGTTCTGGTCCATCCTGAATCTGAAGGTTTCTGCTGTTTTATCGTCACACAGAGGAAGACCCGCCTGAACGTGGTCTGAACCGGACTCTGACGGTACCGGCTCGGTTCTGAGAAGCTTCTGAAGGTGAGACCTACCTGCTGAGGGCAGCGCCGAGGCCAGAACCAGCAGGCCTGGTACCAGGGTCCGGTCCATCTCAGAGCAGTCGCTACGGTTCTTGTTGAAGCTCCGGGTTCTGCAGCGGCGGCGGCGAAGTGAAGCGAGCTCGTCTGCAGCGCCGAGATGAAATGGAACAGGAAGTGGTGAGGAGCTGCTGCGCCAGGTGACACGGCGACACACTTCTCCCACACAGCGGCAGGAAACCAGCTCGCTTCAGCAGCCTCAGCTGGTACCAGGGGCCGGGCCGGGCCCAGAACCTCCCGCTGGAGCTGCAGGAGGAGAGGGAAACATCTGGACTCAGGAGGATCACCTCCAGGTGGATCCTCAAACACCACAAACGTCGCATCTTTTTGTTTAAAAATCTTTATTTATCTTCCAAAAATATCATCTGATCCAAAATATAAAACAAAGATGATTCTAGAAACACAAGCTGAGAAACTCAAACAGCTGATCCTCCCAAAAAGGAGAGAAATCATCTGGAAAAACAACCTAAAGCCAGGCTGCGCCTCCTGAACACTGAGAATCATGGGAAATGTAGTCAGAGACAGAAACTGTCTGCTGCAGGTTCTGTCTTTTTCATTTTCAAACTGTTTAATCTGAGAGCGGCTACAATCAAACACGTCACACATTCAAAAGGTCAGAGTTCAACGAAAACACGGGAAAAAAGAGGCGCAGCGTGGAGAGAGACCTCCTGAAGAAGCTGAGGTCCTCCCTGGAGACGGAGGAGGAGGAGAACCTCTGATTCACACAAACACTTTGGCTAAAATCCAGCCTGGATGAAACAGCTACATATTAAAGTGCTTTAATACTCTGTACAATGTCTCCCTCTAGTGGCCAATCTGCTACATTACAGGATTAGGGCCACTGAAAAAATTAATTCATTGATTTCTACCGGTATTTATTTCAGGAAAGACTTTAATCTCAGAATTCTGAATTTAATCTTAGAAGTCTGAATTTAATCTCAGATTTCTGAATTTAATCTCAGATTTCTGAATTTAATCTCAGAATTCTCAGATTAAAGTCAGAATTTAGTCACAACTTTGATTTTTTTTCTCCACATTAAACTGAACTAAAACTTTTCCCAGTGGCCCTAAACTGGTGCCCTACAGGCATCCTGGTAAAAAGGGGAGATCAGGTTATTATTTAATCAATCTAAATATTTATAATGACTTTGATTGGAGATGTAGATAATTCAATATTATTTTGATGTTTTAATCTGGATTAACCTGGAAATGAATCAATAATCTGAACAGGAAGCAGAAATCAGAGCAGGGAGCTGATTGGATGCAGAGCAGAGAACATTAGAGCTTCCAGTCCCTGAGGAAAGATCATCATCATCATCGCTCCATCTTCATCGGTCAGGTCAAAGGTTCCTGAACAGAGTAATAACCAGAGTGGACATCAGGGGGCGCTGTGCTCCGATCAGCCTAATAAAAGCTTTAAAGTTTTTAATACTGATTCTAATTAAACGGGATCGTTAGCAGAATGTTTTTATTCATTTATTCATTCTAGATTCTATTTTCTGTTATTTCATTTTCTGCTAAATCGTAACTAACTTTAAAGAATATCTGAGGACTACAAGCAGCAGATAAAGAACTACAACTCCCAGCAGCTCACCTTCAGTGGTGCTTCCTGTGCGGCGCAGCCTGGAAGTACTCGTCAGGACTGACGGTCTTCACCCCTCCGAAGTAATCCAGAACCCAGACCTGAAACAGAAGGACGCCGTCAGACGGGACGGAGCAGGACGCGTCCAACTGAAAATGTCCAGCAGGACGTGTCCAGGGTAACGTGTCCAGCAGGACGTGTCCAGCAGGCCCGGCTGTGGAGGTCCTGGTACCTGGGTGATGTTGAACTTGGCGAAGAACCAGCTGTGGTCTGTGGGCCAGTCGATCATCTCCGGGTGTCGGCTGAACAGAGCCTTCTTCGCATAGTCCGCCTCCGTCCCGTTCACCTGGAGGACAGAAGGTCCGGGTCAGGACACCGGGCTGGACATAACCCCCCCACCCAGGACTTACCTGGACCACGGATCCAGACAGGATGATGTGAGCGCAGAGCGGACTCTGAGGGTCGAAGCCCTGCAGCCTGCAGTAGTCAGTCTGAGCCAGAGACATGGACAGGGACGCCTGGGGGTGGACCTGGGGACAGACCTCATTATTCCTCTACGCTTCTGGAAGGATTACAGATTAAACAACAACTTTTCATTTCTGATAATTAATAAGATTTAGTTTGATTAAAAAAACAACTTCCTGCTTATAAAACCTGACCGGTCACGTGACCCGGGCTCCAAACTGCAGCGTCACTGTTTCTAAGCAGATCTTATCTGTTTGCATAACCTGCTGAGTCATGCCGGTGACGTCAGCTGTCTGTTATTGTGGCTGCGCTCCGCTCACCTGCAGGTCCTGGACAGACACCTCCATGTGGGTCAGGTACATGTAGGGGACCCCGGAGCTGCTGCCGGGGGGCCCGTCGCTCACAGAGAACACGTTGGAGAACGGCTGCCCCGCCACCGGCGCGTGGGTGGAGATAGTGGCCATGGAGGCCCAGTCGCACTGGTGGGCGATGAAGCGGGCCACCCGGGCCACCTGGTCATGAGGAGGGATGTGGAGCCGGCAGGAGGCCCAGGAAAGGCCGAGGAGGAGCAGGAGGAGAGCAGGCCGCGGAGAGGAGGCCATGGCGGGGGGAGTCTGAGGGACAGCTGCGGAGGAACTGAGATAAACAGAGGGACCACTTCCGCTACAGACCTTCACAATAAAACACACTTCCGGTTTTCACAACAAGAGCTTAAAAGTTACTGCAAGAGAGCAGAAAACCCTCCTGTTTCCGCCTCCTTTCAAAATAAAACCGGAAATAGTGGAGACGCTGCTGGAATATCAAAATAATCTCACGAGAAGTTTTAAAATTACCTTTCAGATTACAGATTTATGCAGATTAAAAAATATTTAACCTGAACTCAAACTGGATAAGAGATATGAAAAGTTTTATATTTTGCAATTAAATAATAATATAGACACAACATGTTATATTAATATATTATAATATTATATATTTATGTAGAATATTATTCAGTATTTTAAAGGATTGCTCTCTGATGAGTACTATGATCTATAGAACTGAATAATTCTATTCAGTTTATTTCTATAGCTGTAATTCACATCATGCCATCTCAGGTCATTTTATAGATCCAGATCAACCAGATCATCCAGTCAGATTGATTCAAAGTTTTCTATCTAAGGAAAACCAGCTGATTGCATCGACTCAT